GCTTTGAGCAAGTGAAAAGACATCCCTGCACATAGCAGAGGGGTTAGATTATTGATCTTTAAAGGTCAAAACAAAATATTATATGATAAGAAAACACCTGGAGACTTCAACTGGTTTTAAAAATTGTATAAATATTCTGAAAAAGACATGCAATCAGGCACTGACAGTTCAGACCTGCCAGAGAGGCAATCTATCATGCACTATGTATTTCTGATATGTAACAATTCAAGATCTAGAAAAGATAGAATTAACACACAGGACAGAAGATATCCCATATTACAGAACCACACATTTAAAGAGAGGATGAGGAAGAACCTGTAAATATAGTGAAAACACAAATTGTTTAAGATACCATGAATGTCTGAAATGCACAACATTTTGTCCTCCACCTCCTTCTCAGACAAGAAGGATTACAGTGAGAAGGCAAATGAAATACCCAGCACAAACAGGTGCTGCAGAGATAGAGGAAGGGCAGCAGTATAAAATTTTGTATTTCACAGGTCTTATGAGAAGATAAATTGAATATTAGTTTCTTTTCTTTTAATAGGGTTAAATATGTTTAAGAGGTGTACAATTAAAGAAAATATGGACTGTAACACTTGAAAATTGAAATCCAGCCATCCTTAGTGACCAAAGCTAATCCGATTTTACTATTAATGTTAGACACAAAAGATTTCAGCTCCTACCTGAATGAAGTGTACAGCTGAATAGAAAGAAAGAATTATTCTCTTTCAGGATTCACCCACAGCTGTTTATAAGAAGAAAGCTTGGTTTAGGGAATATTTGAACCTACTTCAGACACACTTCATCTAAAAGCAAGGACCATTTCTCTGGATGGCAACAGCCCCTAAGCTGGAACTCCTGAAGATAATGCCTACAAGAAAGGAATGGTCTGCTCCGGGATGCAGGCAGGAACTACATGTACACAGAAGCAAGTTCTGCTGATGGAGCTGGATGTGCTGGAAAAGGTGTGAAGGACAGGAGATGGCCCCAGTGTGACTCCTCTGGGAATTCCCAGGCCTTTAGTCTGCACACGGCAGCAGTTCCTGCACTGGGGCTTCAGAGAAATGGGACTAGAACCCACATAAAGACAGGCATCATTTCATCCTCTGTTTGCAGACAATTTTCTCCTCAGTATCTCTTTCCAAAAATCCCACCAACTCAAATATAACATATGTACCCACCGCTATTTTTTTTTTAATAAAAAGCAACAGTTTGGAAAGTACAAAGAAGAAAAGGTGTAAAATTACAAAAACACACAGTTCCCAAGAAATGACATTGTATCTTGCTTTTCAAACTTCTAGGAACCAAAGCTTTTCACTTTTTTTTTTGTTGTTGTTCATTTTGTAAAATAACAGCCCCCCTCCCCACTTTCTAAGTGAAACACTATGTTTTAGAGAATGTGTGCCACAATGTAAGATGCCTGTGGGTGGGACGTCTCACAGGAGATACACAAAGCAAAGCACTGGTCATTACTGAGGACCCTCCATCCAGCCAGTGCAAACCCTAGCTGATGTTGAAAATAGGATGCCCAATTTTCAGAAGTGCTGAGGAAGTCAAAAGCCCAAAGAACAATGGCTGCATAGGGCTCTCAGCCTCCAAAAAGGGAAACAAAAACCAGCCTGGGTAAGCCAGTCCTACACAAAAGTTTAGTGTGAGCAAGGACAACTCAAACTGTCTTAATGAGAAGCAGTCTAACACACCCTTGCCATCAGATGAAGAAGCTCAGTAATAGCACTGGGGCTCCACACAAGGACTGGTGAGACAATCGCATCAGCCTCAGTCTACCTAATGCCAAGGCAACAGTTATGCAATGACAGAAACAAAACGTTGTATTCATGGGGGACCGGACTGCCAGCTGACAAAGGCTTCTTTTTGAAGTACTTCATATGAAATTTCTGCTCCAAGTCCCCTCTCCTGACTGATCAAACTGCCATTAACTCAGACACAGCTTGGTCATCCAACAATGCTTCTAAGCAAAGAACTCGGTAGACCTTGGAATTTTGTGTTGTCATTATCATCATTATGAGCAAAATGTTCAAGAAAAGTTTTCTTGTCTTCACTCCCCTTTTCCCAACTGCTACATTCAGGACAACACATTCTACATGGACATAAATCATGTATTTCACACACTGTTGCAGACCCACAATGTGCAAGACTAACTTCAGTGCTTTTCTAAGATTTTAGTACTGAAATTAAGATGGCCTTCTCCTTAAGGTGAATCACTGACGAAGATTTAAAGCAGTGTCTTGATTTCAAACTGCCAGCAACTTAATTCACTGAAGGAAAACCATTTTCACACACTTAGCAGCAAAGACATTTAAGAACAATTTCACATGGAAATCAATACTTTCAAGAAGACAGTAAAAACATTTCTTTCTTTCTATCCCTCTTCCTTTCCCATTCCAAGATTTATCAACCCATTTATTAATCCTATGGGACATCAACCCATGCCAGTAAAAGTGTAAGTTAAGAGGAAGATACAGACAAGTAAGATACAGACAAGAGGAGAGGCTGCACATTTTTCAGCTTCATTTAATATCAAAAGTTCACACAGGAAAAGAATAATCTAAAAAATGAGTATCAGAATATGGACACAAAAAATAAGCTTCTTGATGCTGCTAATACAGCTTGTTGGTTTGCTTCAACCACCAGAACTGCTGAGGCTACAGAAATCAGTACTTTACTGTGCACTAAAGGGGGTGCAGAAAACTTACAAAAAGATTAGTAAAAAGACACTAATACTAGAGGAGTCTGATCTCTACTAAGCTAGGGAACAAAACACTTAATAAGCATTTAGAAATTAGGGAATTAGGTGATGCGAATTAATTTAACAAAGTAGCAACCATAGGAATTCTGTCAGCTTCCTTTAGCTTTGGCTGAGTAATTAATTTTTTTTCTTCTTAATTAAAACCAGAGAGTGTGCCAGCATCAGTATGTGCATATTAACACTCGGGCACGCACTGATAGCTCTGCTTTAGGAGTTGCAACCTCTAAGCAATGATATGCCAGTGGCAAACCAGACCAAAGATTCTGTATTTTTCTATCTTTTCTTTTTCCAAACCTCCTAATTTTCATTACTGCTTAATTAATTCGGATGTATTGTTGGTTGAAAGAGAGCTCGCGGGAAGCAGCCCATGTACTAAAAGTCCCATGCTGAAAGGATGGGCATGCTGAAGGTGGGTGCTGGCTGCCGACCCATGTGCACTACGAATCTCTCCCTCCCTAGGGCCCTACTTCTGCTCCTGTTCACACACTCACGCAAGCGCTACCCTCCCCATAAGTTTGGGAACAGAAGTCACAACTTTCCACCCACACCCACCTCCCTCCACCGCTGCAGAGCGAACAGCGCACCGCGTTATCCCAATGGCCCGCAGGACTCCCTAGCGCTCACACCTAAATCCATCACGCCTGCTACACGGCAGTACTCGGCGCTGCCCATCTCCAGAGGCACCTCCACTCTCCTCCCCGTGTCCCGAGGCTATCCCCCCTCTCCCGACCGAGCTTCCCACCGCGGCGAAAGCTGACCCGCACCTCTGGGGACGCGGCTCTGCTG